TCATAAGATTTGGCTGGTAGCTTTTTGGAATAGAGCTAACCAATTTGAGAAGGAAAATGACATTGACCTACTTACAAGATCACAGGGAAAAGTATGTCAAGCAAATTCTGAAGAAGAATCAAAAAGCATAGAATCTTATAGTAATATTTTGCTGGTAGTTTCAACAGATGGAGCCAACAAAGTTTGCGAGGGAAATAATTTTAGTGCAATATAATATTTAATGAGAATATTTTGCTATGACTGCTTAAATATTCAGGTGAGCGATACAGGCCCTCTTGGGCCTCTTGTTGTTTTCATTTCGTTGTTTTCCAAGGGGAATATATTTTTTGTTGAATTTCTGTCATTTATCGGGAAAAGCATTTCCAGTTGTAGCTTATATTACATTCTGAAAGCATTCTAACCAGTTTCTGCATTTATTGCTGTAATTCAGCCTTGCCGAATAAATATTTTGAAAATATGTTTTCCTTGGAAATTGCTTGGCTCCATCCCCGAAATTCCAGAGGTTATGCTCTGTTGTATTCTCTGCATATGCATGAATATGTCACGGCTCCGGGTACTGACCGGTGTCAGAAAGCATTGACTAATTATCTAAGACTGTGTCAGAAAGTAGGGGTCCCTATTGAGCACAGGAAAACAGTCAACCCTACTACTTGTGCTACTTTTTGGGGGTTATACCTAATACAGAAGAACATAGACGCAAGGTTACCAATAGACAAAAGTTGAAAAGACATATACGATTCTAGTGGAGTTTATGCGACGACAGAAGGTTACTCTGCTGGAACTCCAATATCAAATTAGGTTGTTGAACTGCCTCTCGTATAGTGGTTCCATACAGAACGTGGTTACGTGGGCTTATCGACTTTTACAAGAGGGCATGCAAAACCATACCATCATGCAGAATTTCATTCGCCATTTTTACAACTCTGTTATGTTTGCATTCAACCACTGGGAACCTAAGAGAATTTTCCAATGTTCACCGATGCAAGAAGTCTTAGATTTGGTGCTCTCGAGAATCTCATTGGTTCTGTGATGAATGGAACGAACACATGCAACAACACCATATAAACATAAGTGTGTTGTTTCCCATCACAGTTGTACTCGATATTTAGGGCTGTTGGCTGAAAAACGAATCTGCACTATTCTGTGTGGACAATACAACTGTAGAAGCAATAATAAATAAGCAAAACTCGTCTAGCCCCTACATGATGGCCTTAATGCATCGGTCGGTCATAGCTCCAAGTTTCAAGTATATGGCTGATGCAGAAAATGTCCTTGCTCAACAGACTGCTCCTCGCATGGAAAGATTAGCCATCCAGGTTCCAGAGAATCTGCCATATATTTAAATGATAAGGTTTTCAAGCTTGTTTATTACACTGTCACGCGGAATGCAATCTGCCCATAGCTACGCATACACATGTGCCATGCATTGCTCATTTGTCAGAACAAAAAATAGCACTTTGTACAACCACGAGCTACATGTCAACTAATGTATAAGTTATCCTTAAGGTGCGGAAAATGCTGATTGGTCTGCAGAAGACGGGTAGTTAGCCTGACTGCAGAAAAAAAAAAACATTACAAAACAATGCTCTTTGGAGGCATTGACGAAAGTGTGTTGGTTGCATTATGAGAAATTATTGTTTCTGTCTTCATTTTTGTTAGAAATTTCTTGCATTTTTGCGAATTTGTGAGGTATTAAGTATCCGTTGCGCGTAGAAATAACATTTAAGTCTTACATAGGTCATTACAATATAACTCCAGTCACTCTCTCATTCACTACGCGAACAAATAAGTCACATTGTTCAGTAAGATGCTTATATAACTATCCCCTGGTCCGTATGTTTAAGGTAGGACCAATGCATCTCTTTCCGAACCTGTTTCTAACCAGAATATCTTCACTATTTTGAGATATGCTTTAGTGATAGCCGGATACAAATCTGACGCTTACAGGCGACACAGTTTTAGAATATGTGCTGCTTACTCAGCAGCCAGTCAACTGCTATTTGACTTGTATAGCCTGTCGTATGTCCGGTAGAACTGCACATCATAAAATAATATTTAAACACAAATAAATTCAATTCAATTGAATTTATGATCCTTTTGATTTGTACTTTTGGATGGAGGGGTTTCTTAGTTTGGCTTCATTTAAACTTTTGTGTTTATATTCGGACTGATTAACAAGTATTTGCCTTATTTCGATAGCTGGGATCGAATGCCAACTATAAAGTGCTACCTCACTGAAATACCTTGTCGAAGGCATCCGACACAGTATTCCACCCGATCACATTCCCTAGGCAGAAATACAGAAGAGAGCCCCAAATATGCAGGGGACCACACATTAGTCGCCTCTTACGACATGTAGTGGGTACAGCAGGGGACCACATATTAGTCGCCTCTTACGACATGTTGTGGGGGACCACACATTAGTCGCCTCTTACGACATGTAGTGGTGTACAGCAGGGGACCTCACATTAGTCGCCTTTTACGACATGTAGTGGAGTACAGCAGGGGACAACATATTAGTCGCCTCTCACGACATGTAGTGGAGTACAGCAGGGGACCACACATTAGTCGCCTTTTATGACATGTAGTGGAGTACAGCAGGGGACAACATATTAGTCGCCTCTCACGACATGTAGTGGAGTACAGCACGGGACAACATATTAGTCGCCTCTTACGACATGTTGTGGGGGACCACACATTAGTCGCCTCTTACGACATGTAGTGGTGTACAGCAGGGGACCTCACATTAGTCGCCTTTTACGACATGTAGTGGAGTACAGCAGGGGACAACATATTAGGCGCCTCTCACGACATGTAGTGGAGTACAGCAGGGGACCACACATTAGTCACCTCTCACGACATGTAGATGAATACAGCAGGGGACCACACATTAGTCGACTTTTACGACTTGTAGTGGGGTACAGCAGGCCTGTTCTTTCCTTGAACCTAGTTATGAAGTAAAGACAAATATAAAGATTCTAAATATTGCAAATGGTGCAGCAGATTTATTTTGGTCGTTTTTGCTTCCACATGTAAAGGACACAGAAGCAATTTCCCATCTGCAGGGGGTTCCCGCATAGTTGCCTCTTTCAACATGCAAGTTTATGCGTATTGGTTACTCGCAGGAAAATGCAAAGAATAAATACATCACAATGGGAGACGTAAATAACTTACACCAACACCAGATGTGTCTCTTTAAACGATGTTGATGTAACATTCGACCTAAAACTAAAATTTAGCAAGCACTTATATTTTAAAGGCCAACATAATAGCTGGACGAATCTGAAAACGTTTACCTTTCTCAACACTAGTTAGGGGATGGAGTATACTTCTTTTATATGCAAAATAATAAACAACATCGGTATTTTAGGGAAGGACAAATTGTTTTTGAACTCGTACATATACCCTTTATAACCTTCACTTCACATATGTACTAGTATTGCAAAACAACATTACGTAAAACAGTCAGGGTTTTGGTATAAAAACAAACCCATTAAAACCGTCTCCCTGAGACAGCTAGCCGTACGTTTACTTGTCCACCAACTTTGTTCCATCACCCAGAATACATTTGTCGACCTGATCACACATCATAAGCGAATACTAACGATACCATGTGCAGCAAAAAAAAAGGAATTTTCACCGGGTATTCAGGTTTCACATAGACGTTTTCGAGACGGTTAATATCAGAATTGTATGAATCAGACTTTTACGGCAAAACATCAGGTGATCAAGAAATGATGTCCGTTTCAGATAGTCTGACAACACTCCCTGGGGGGTCTCAGATAGTCTGACAACACTCCCTGGGGGATCTACCTCGCTGTCTTGGCTGGTACCGCGTGATTTCCACAGTACTGTTGTAAAGAGATTCGTAAAACAATGGCGTCTTGTAGGTATCCATCAGCTTTGTTGCAACAACATTTAAAGCGTTATTTATTCCCTCACCTGGAAAAAAAATGTCCTATGAGTGTATTACTCTATACAAACAAAGCACTAAGAATGTGTATACTTCATTTATGCAACGGCGCACTTTATTAGTTAAATGCATCAACATACATTTGTATTTCATTTACTGCAGTAAGTTTCTCGGGAGATATTTACATGTTAAAATCCGAGAGGTATTTGCAACTTTTCAACAGCTACTTTAACAAGTTATTTTTTGCCCGGTGTTTTATTTCTTTGTTCAATTTAGAATCTTATTTGTTAACAAATCACATTCTTACCCGTTAGTGCCGATACAGGAAGTACACTTTCACAGTTGTGCGCATACCGGAAGTTCTCGGTGTTGTCTGTTATAACAGTCCTTTCCAGATCAGACTTGTTTCCTAGTATGAATCTCAAAGCTGTTGACAAAAATGGTTCAGTTGGTTCATTTCAATCAGTTAATTGACTTTTTGAATTATTTTTTTCCATTGGGATAATTTTAATTGTTTGTATGCCATGTATTATTGCATTGTCAACCATTTTTAGCATCGATATACAACAGTAACTGTTATGTGCCCTGACGAAAAACAATGGTTTGTCTTTCGACGGAAACTGTTATTTGTGCATTGGCTATCAAGTTATTTATTTGTAAAGAACGACTTTTCATTGTGTATTGTCGAATAGCAGTTGTTTGCGTATTTTTAATTCATGGCGTTCCGAACGACATTGTAAAGCATGTGTTTTGTGCATTGACAAACAGCAGGTTGTGTGTAAAGTAACGATACGCAAAGTTAAGCATGTAAAGCAACATTTGGTAGTGCACTGAGGAATGACTGTCATTTTTGGGATTGCGAACTGACATCTGTTTCAGGATTGACAAACGACAGTTAGTGCACTGATAAACAGCCATTTTAACGAGAAGCCATTGAGAAAAAAATGTTTGAAAGCTTGAAATGATTCCTAAATGGATAATGCACATTAACGAAATACCATACTTTATTATCTCTACTAGCAACTGATAATCAGTAATCAGAAATCGAAAAGTACTGACATTGTTTATCACCTATGTGCGTAAAATATCATTAATAAAGTTACTCTCAGCTCAAATGCGATATTTCCTTTATGTAGCTTAAACTTGCAAGAAAGTGATGTTTTTTATGTTCTCACCATCAGGAGCGAATTCGATGACGTCATTGGCCCACTTAGACAGGTACTGGAGTGAGGCTGGGTTGTTAACGTCATACACCAGTAGGGCCGCGTGCGTGTTGCGATAGTAGTTCCGGGTCATTGTTTTGAACTTTTCCACACCTGCTGTGTCCCAGAGGGCCAGCTGTAGGAGAAAAAGATATTTTAACATTATATAACCAAGATCAAACCTGTTCAATAATCTATTTTCTTGGAAGCATTTATTTTGTTGTTGTTGAAGTTTATCGTCTTTGAAACAGCTAAATTGACCTAAAGGATGTGTCCACTTCAGATTTTGGTGCTGATCGACATTTTCCTACCATCACATTTGAATTGCATAGAATGTGAAAAGGGGGAATCTCAAATTATGCTGAGTTTCAATTAATGTTTTGTTGACAGAAAATATATTTTCTTAGTGTTTCCCCAGTAAAATCGAGGGCTTTACATTTGTGCAATCTTTGTGAATAATAAAGAAATATTTATTCGCTTCACCCACAGCAATACTCTCAACTGTACCTGTGCAACTCTACATTTCTCTACTTCATGTCTCTTACTGTCTCTGGTCATCTGACGATCTTAATAAAGCTACGAGATATTCAATGGACGATCAAATATATCCAAAGATTCCAATCATGAATCGGAATATGTGAATTTCTGGATAGATGGGTTCTGTGGACGACTATGCAAAGCAATGGGCAATAGAGAGCATGCTCATGTGTATTATTGGATTAAAAAATCAATAAGCAATTTAAAATCTAATTTTAAACACCAAAAACAAATATTTATTTCCTTACCACGATATCCAAACCACTCCCAAATACCTGTGTTACAAATATGTGGTTGTGTCAGCAGATAGATCATCCAACAACGTCATCCTTGTCTGCAAACACTATTACAGTTCCTGATTGCAAACAGAACTAGGTTTCTTGATAACGAAAGACACCCTACTGACACATATCCTACACTTTTGAAAAACAAAATACTACTAATAGTACGCCTCTATCGGTTATTGATAAAGAAACGGACATGCCAGCCTTTTATTACATTCCGAACAAGAAACCTTACAAACAATGGTCTATCGCTGGCTCTGCTATTTGCTCAACCAGGCCATTATCCACGATACGTACTGCCATTTTAGTCCCACTAAACCATGGTTACAGTTATATTGTGACATGGTATACTCCAGAAGAGGAATGAAGGGGATGTGGATTATAAGGAAATCAAAATATTGTTTATTCTATCTTTATCATTCTGACTTTCTCCAAAATATATCTCTTCTATCACAACATCATATCTGTCCTATACAGGAACTCCTTCGTTCTCTTATCATTAAAGAAATCTGTTTTCCATTTACGGTGAACGGTGATGCACTCATAGGGCTGTAAACTATTTTTGACATATTTGTACAAAACAAAACAAAAGGCCATGATGAATTATATTGTGGATGACATTATGAAATTTTCATGTTGACAATATCTTTGAGTTTCGGTGGCAAGATTTGCAAGCAAACTGTTTTCCTTTTTTTCACATGGAGCTCAATCATATCGAAGAGCTTATCCGAACAGGCAACAATAACATTACAAAGTCCTTTAATTCATCTTTCATATATAATAAGAAGGCATTTATTATTCGATAGTATCTAACCTCATGAACTTGAAACCAACGACGTTACAGGCTCCTGTTAACGTTGTAAGATTTGGCGACGAAAAACAAGTCCTTGTCTTGAATGCCAAATCATCCTGCGAAGCCACTTTGCTGTAATTAGCTTAAGCTTCAAAATGTTACAGTACGAATTCGCAACAGCTCATAATTTTCAGGTCATATATTTATATAGATTTATACTCTGTTAGGAAAATTAGTGCAACCGTTCTTACATATCAACTGTGGAAATAATAAACGGCAATAATTTTAGTAAATTTTCAAGCACATATATTTCCAATTTTCCTAACTTATGTGCGGAGCTAAACTGTAATTTTACATTTGATGATGTTACTGGCTAAGATTGATTCACACAGTTACTTTTATGGATTTTATATTTGACACATTTTCCAACCAAAAAGCATCAACCACACATGATCACTAATGTGGTGACACCGGTGGGATATGGAACATCAACCTTGACCATATATGGCGGCGGTCTCCACTTGGAATCAGGACATTCAAGTTTAACTCCCTGTAAGGGAGTATAACATCTCTCAGTCATATTATTATGGGTTTAAACAGTTCAAAAGATACATTAGAACGAGAAAGAAGGAGATCTCAAATGATGGAAATGAGGCAGCATGGAAACGCTTATGTGAGTATATATTTAAAGACACCACTGAACGCATACATTTCATATTTCAACCATGGTATGGTAACATAATGTTCGAAATCTTATTATATTTTGTTGGTCATTGGTCAAGGTTAAAAGGTCAAAGGTCAACGGCAAAACGGAATACGGGAGGTGGAAATGGGCTAGGAGTATATCCATGTGAGCCTCTGTTTTTATTTTGTAGGGGATGTCCACATTAGTCTCCTCGTATGAAAATACAGTGTCATATAGCAGATCATCTCTACAATTCCTAAACCTGATGTCTTCACAAAGCTTTCCTTAAATAGACATCAAGTCTGTTACTTACCGAGACCTTTTCATCCTCTACATACAGTGCTTTGACGCAGCTCTCTATGCCAACTGTTGGCTGTAGCCCCGGTATGAACTTATTGTCCTTGACCCTGAGGAACAGTGAGGACTTTCCAACTCCCACCTCTCCCAGGAGTACCACCTTAAATAGTGGACGGCGCCAATCTATATCTGCTGGCATCTCAGTAACATCAAGACAAATTAAGATACAATACACGTTTCATTTGACCCTTCAGTTAATCTTCTAAACAATGGTGCGCTCGGATGAAGTTATAATCACCGGAAAGTTGTTTTGCTTGTTGAGACCCTGTAGAATGTACTATTGATCAAAGTTAATATCTCACAAATACCGAAAAGGATGTTTTTATTCCATTGACCAAACTATTTGTTATATTGGATTCAATATTTGCTCAAATATAGATGACCAGTATGTATAAGTCTATGCACTTCCGGTGATCCTGTTCTGACGTAATCCAGAGACGAATGTTACATAAAGCGGGCAATGCAGCTTCGTGATACAAACACAGAGGTTTTACCTGAATGATACTACTGGTTATGTAATCCTCGTATTCCACATTCAATTTAACCAGATGGGTGTATTCCGTTCACTGGTCAGATATTATTGTTCGTCATAAATTCCATTCAAGTCGAATTGGATTATAAAACTAATCAGACAATCCGAGAGACAGGAGCCATCTGTACAGATATATACTACGGGTCACACTGCCTCGTGAGATGTACTCGTGTTTATTGTATGACAGATAACCGGACCCCTGTTATCAGACGTCATTAGCCCACTCAAGGTAAAATGTATAGGCCGGAAATGTAATCAGTGTTATTTATATAGTAAGCAAAATAATAACCATAATATCAATATCGTTGGATTTAGAAAAATGATTACTTTAAAAACATTTATATTTCTGCACTTGATTTAAACATTTAAATTGTAGCGCGTTTTACGTATTGTATGATAAAGCTAATGACGACTGCTACCAAAATTACACTGTATAGTATAGTGTTCCCAGTCGTATTAGCTTTACATAGATTTTTTTCATTTATGACAATTTTTAAATATGTTACATAAGTTATTAAAAATACCCGCTTTTGTGAATAAAATAGCCGTCTAACCGCATAATCAATTCATACACATGTGTTGTAAATTTAAGATAACTTTACAAATTTATCAAGTTTAATTTGGAGATGTTGATCTGTTAAGATAACAGAGCTTTTAATATCCGGGTACTGGGTACTGGCAATAAGGCTTGTATAAGTTTTGTTGTTGGAGTGTATAGCTGTTATCAGTGGTAGTACCCAGCGAAACCCGATACTGGGATAATACCTGGAGATACCTACAAAGGTTATCAGTTTGATGGGTTAAATCTGACCCCACGATTTGGCGGTCTTATGAAATCATTCATTGATAACTTATATCATCGATATTAATGTTTTGTTCGTTTTAACTATTGATTACATTTTTATGAATAAATTTATGTAATCTATTTTATTCATTACTCTCATATTAAAAGAATATCACATGGTTCCTGTGATACGGTGCTATATGTGAAGTAAAATAAGTTATTATAGAATCTGAATCAGAAAATAACTTATGGATCTACACTGTTAACATGTGTGGTTAAAAGTATTGAGGGGTTTCAATATACTGACGGATTCTGTGGAAGACAACGTTAGAAAATGGTCAACACGAGGGCATGCTTAATTGTTTTTATTTTCAGAGTTGGTTTAATCTATCAGGCTAAACATTCAAATGGAATAAGCAGCCCGAAATCCATAATCTAAACAAAACCTTGACCCCGATATCCAAACCACAGTAACGGATCTGCTTGATCTACTAATTTGATCCATGTCTTGAGACAATATTGCATTTCCTACTTGCAAAAATAACTAGGTTGCTTGTTCATCATGGAAACTCGTTTTCCAGTTTTCCGAAAGACGAAATACTAGCTAATTATGCTTCGGTACTATTGGATTCTTCTTTATCGCTGGCTTCATAATTTGGTAAACCAGGCCAGTATCCAAATGTCTTACTACCATTCTTAGTACTATTACATCAGGGTTACAGTAAGTCATAGTGTGACAATGTAACTCATGAAGTGGTCAATGGGACTACTGCATTAGTTCAAATCGCGAAGAAGAATGCCACTCGGAGGTTTTTTACTTGAAGTAGTCCTCCTTAGGAAAACTAATTTTAAAAAATGTGTCGCAACATTTGACAATTATAGAATCTTTGCTTTGAAAATGAGTTTTCGAGAACTCAATAGATCTTTTGATCAATCTTGATCATATTCACTTGAAAAATGTTCCTTATGTCAGTACATTTGACTTATAGTAGTTTTACACAAACATATCTAATACCCAACTAAAAGAACGCTTTCGTCCTATTGCTATGAGAGCTTCCGTTTCCATGAAAGACAAACGGTATATGGTTAAAAGCTATCGGAATCCTGTCTGCACAGAAATCCAGTGTTACACAGAAAATGTTTAAACAACAAAAACTGCATCTTCAAATGTTTTATTATTTCTTGCAAATATAAAAATATAATGAAATTTTAAAAATATACCAATGGGGCGACATGAAGATCATAGTATAGAGTTGTATAATGATTATTCAACTGTAGACATTAAACAAAGTTGTTAGGGACTGTAAATCGAAGGCTGCAAATACATACAAAAAGAAACAATATCTTGACTACACTTCTGAAAACAATATACTCATCGTCTCTCTATTGGTCCTACTTTCTGTTTTCAGTATATCTGTACAAGCCATGTCATATTCTTTGAAGTTCTGCAACCTCGAAAGTGCCGGTTGGCACATTGTTTTATGTAAATTACGTACAAACTCAGATAGGGATGCGACTTAAGGTTGAGGACCGTTCACTCCCTATAGGAACATTGTTGATAGCCGTTTAGTGTACAATAAACTGTTAAATATTTCAAATAATCACACGATGATCCTTGGTTGTGAGAAATTCAATATTATTTCGCTGTCCGTTTGTAAAATAAGCAACGACTTTCGTCGAAAATTCAAATTCGATTCTTTAAGTTTTCAAATATACGATATATATCTATAAGAATACCAAAATATAATTTTATATCCTGTTTTAATCACTCCTATCGAAGAAAAAAAGCTTTTAAAATGTTGTCTATTTCATAAATATATTAAATGATATGATAAGCATAGGATGCTCTTACAATATGCATCGTTACTCAACTTGTAAACCAAAATATTCCACTCTTCTTATCACACACAATATCTTTAGTGACATCCGGGGCAGAACTCTTCTGATTCGGTGATGAAACTGTCCATCGGTCCCCTTTTCGGCTCGGGATCGCTGCTCATTGGAAATTCATAAATTGCACTAAAACCATTATTTACTTCTGTTGAAGATACTTTGGTAGCAAAGTGTTGCTTCCGACAATATTACTACAACAAAATAGATGTAAGGGAGCTCAAGTACCGACGTATTTGATCTGTACATAGTTGAGGGCACTGTGGTCTCAAAGCAGCGTTAGGGAATGCATAAGCAACCGTGTCGGAAACAACACTTCGGTACTCAAGTATCTGTAAAGCATTCTTATAATGTCTCAAACCAAAAAGCATAAGTACTAGCATAGAAAACATCAATTACTAAAATTGTTTACGATATACCAATTCGTATCGTTTCGGAAGTGTCTGTTTCTTGAATTCGTCTCACCAATTAACATTCATATATCTGATCGAACCATTCTTCAAACTATATAATGTCGTTCTAGCCTTCCTTAATATCTTAATCTCAGTTTCTCCTGAACATTCATCCAATAATACAGAAGCTTGAATCCAAAGAGCTTTGCTTATATATATTGAGAAAAACAAAATGTTGAATATGCACCATTCACTCTATAAACTATAATTGCAAAAACTACAAGTACAAGACTAATACATTTATAAAAAAACTGACTTATTAAAGACATACAATGGATATACTAAAGAAATTTAGATACAAATACTTTAAAAATAAGTTTTAAAGATATCACATTTTACGCTTTGAAGCTCTGGGCCAAGTCCAAAACATAAAATATACAGCATATAGAATTCGATGTGATGTAAACTTTGCTTGCGTGATTAAAAAATGGCATATCTTGTTAAAAGTCAAATGGAATCATGCAGCAAAGCAGCTTGAGCTAAAACTTAGTAACGCGACATAAAAGTCAAATAGAACCTGAGATTATACAGGGAATCGGCATAAATGGTGTCGATTGACAGGCTGTTCTTCATCTGTGTGGCCTCGAAACCGAGCTACTTCTTACCGTACCCTGTAGTGTTGGAACTTTGCACTTTTCTTGTTATTATTTAAATTGAAATAATCATACTTTTGCTCAATAAGGTCCTTTAAATACACAGATATAGAATAATTTAGTTAAGATACTTTTGATGCCGTAAATAATATGTAAAAGATCGAGTGTGTTTCTTTGTAAATTTTTACTCTGGAGTCTTGGGGCGTTAAATAATTGTCCAGTCTAAAACCTAAAATAATTGTCGAGTCTGTTGTTCCATTTTCGAGTACTTGTTCAGAAAACAAGACGTGATAGGAAGAGTTTTAATGAAAATGTGATAAGAAAAGGGCATGGAAAAGAGTCATTTTTCATATATTGCAAGGTAACCAAGTGGTTTTCCTATTACAAACATTTATTTTTGAGGCACTTCTGTAAGGCTTCAAAATATGGGCGAGTCAACATCTTACATTTCTTTCGAACTGTGAAATGACAATGTCGTCTGCTGATCCTCTTCATCGTTTACTTTCGCAGTTGTCACAGAAACACTTGATACTTGTCAGGTAGGGGAGAACTGACACGTTCTAATAGTGAAGGTGTGGTTTTTTTCGGATTTGTTTCATATGTTTATACATATGGAAAGTCATGTAAAGAAAATCCGTCTACCAGACGATGTGTGTACTGAATGATACAATATATACGCTAACTTAAAAGTGTGTGCCTGAAATTACACATTAAGTTCGCTTACTAATGTTTACGGAATGATACAAAACGCTTACTAAACAATGTGTGTCTGAAATTATACATTAAGTGCGCTTACTAATGTGTACGTAATGATACAAAACGCTTACTGAACAATGTGTGTCTGAACTTATACATTTACTCATTTAGATTTCGCGAGAGATGTGTTAAGTCGTGAGGAAAGTCGATCTCGAATTGAAATGTGTCGCTAATATATTTAGGCACACTTGAAGGTGAGGCATAAAGCTGTCGTTGTTCCTTTGGCAGATTAATTTCCTCACGAGCGAGACGTTGGACGAGAACAGTATCACACAAATAGATATCCGCGAACGTTAAATGGTTAACAGTATAGCACGGTAAACAGTGGGTGTACTATGACGCCTAACCCTGAGTTAGTTATTATCACTAAAATTGAATGCTTGAATGGTTGGGAAAATCAAGATTTCCTGATAATTAGTGTTCAGATTTCGAGGTTCCGCTGTATCCAGTTATGGACTGACCGTGTTTCCAACATAACACGATAACACTGTAAATATGGTATATTCCTTGGGAGAGGTGGTTAAGCACTTACAGCTTTGATATGATTGTCATATTGGTCAATTGTCCTGAGAAGATTAATATCTCATGAATTATTAGGTCATAAAAGGACCTACTCTAGACACTTCTGTTATAGTTAAATATTCAAATAGCACCTTACGTTTCAGCCAAAAAAACAAATATGCTCAAAATTATTACTTCAGTCAAACATTACAGAACCTGCATATATAAGTGGATATCTTTCTATATCACCCAGAAAAGGTTCCGTTGTCAATCTAGCTCGATCAAAGAACAAAATATGACACCACAATCACATCCCACCAGCTTATGGGACCAACACTCAAGCTGAGTTTTTGCTTACGTTTCCATGTTAAGTAAAACTTGAGCAAAACTTGAGGCAGATTTAAAATTGGCAACACTGGCGATTTCTAATTGATCAGACTCTGCTTCTGAACAATTTGTGAACAAAGGGAGTTGGTCATACGTTTATTTCATCCTCGTTGTCGATGTTGAACAGGCGTTGATGAAAAGGGTGCGGATCCGGACAACAAGGTTTAAAACAGATTGGCATCTTTTTCTTCTTCCACTTACAACAGCAATAAATGCCCACGGACAGGACTATAAATAAAACTACAGCCACTATTATCAAGGTCAGATAATGAAATGGTGGCGGGCACCTGCATGACTGGTGCGCATGCGTACTAGAGCAGTTGAGATAAGGAACGTTTGGTCCATGAAGAGACTTGACAACCCATACACTGTCCATTGACCTCCCATCTTTGACCTTCACTTGTTCGAAATAGAGATGACTGGAATTGTACACGAGGAGACGTCCGAAGGAGTTTATACTGCCCTCGGCTGATGCGAAGGCTGACCAGGGTCCTGAAACAGAAACATTTACCATAATGAGTGACATGAAAGGTTCAAAGAGGTACGTGTGTTCGGTAATGTTTTGCCACAGCTACTCATTGGAGTTCAGCCCCAAAACCGAACAGTTAATATTTCTCCCATTCACAAAAAATAGACTCGTGTTGAAAAAACCTTGAAGTATAAATTGCAAGCATACAGAAAACAGAACATTTTATAAAAGGCTTACCTCTACGCCCCATATGGTCTGCTCCTTCTCCACTTCCGGCAGCACCGGAAATAATGTGTACCGGAGCTTGTGGGTTGTTGTAGTTTTTGGCCACCACTTTGTTTTTGTAAACAGGCCAGAGGCGTTCGTACGAATGTTCATGAGCCTGCAGTATAAGGTCCACACCTTGTGCATAGAAAAGATCCTCAAGGCTGAAACCAGGAAAATTGTATAGGTAATAGCCTTTAGCATATGATACGTTAAAAAGGATGGGTATATTTTATTGAAATATTTTAAAAGGAAACAAATATGTTTCAGTACAGAGGTATATTATGACCTTATCGAGTTATAATTTAATGTTGGCTATTCCGCCTATTGTAGATTTAATGTTGGCTATTCCACCTCTTGTAGATTTAATGTTGGCTATTCCACATACTGTAGATTTTTGACAGGTTAAATTGTACAACCTAAAAACCAGACAACACAAAAAGTGATGACGTCTTATACCGCAATGTTTGGCGCGGTATTTGTAATTCTAACTTCTGATTGGTTGAAGCTACTTGGCGATGAAATTGCTCCACAATGTTGTGTTTTGTGCAAAATTATTTTGTTTTTACGAATACCGATTTGTTTTCCGTATTACTAAAACAGATCTCGTCAATAAAAATAACTTCGGTTCTCTGATTGAGAAGCAACAAGTGATTACGAACTTATTCGAACTTTTATTTGACCCTGACCAAGACAGCTAGGTATTTTAGGATACAGTAAACGAAAAGTGGTATAACGTACCCGTTTTTGACGAGATAACCGAATATGCGGCCCGTACAATCATCTGCGTCCCCGTTAGAGCAGTACATGGGCCTATGACCCATAGCAACTATCCACGGCTGCTTGTCTCTGTTCTGATTGGCTTTCGTCAAATCGTCCAACAGCCAATGGAATTGCTGGCAAACGTAGTTTGCGTTGTCAATGAAATATACCTCCGAAGAGAAGCTGAAACGAGGTTATGGGTACATTGTTATTTGCTATTCAATACAACTCCCGTGATGAGAAAATAAAGGATTATTAAATACGGTTTAATATTGTGTCATTGCAACATGGATCCTTCTTCAAACTGTTCAAAAGATTAAGTATGGCCAGAAATTGAATAAAGTTTAGAAATGTCCAAAACGCTATTAAACGCTAGAACTACTCGAAACACTTTAGACATTGGTGTTTATTCTTTGGACAGTAAATAACACTGATAAGTCGTAAACGAACTTAGTTCTAGTAATGTTTAAGCTTTTCTTTCGTGGTGAATTTTGAAGTGATTCTGATAATAATCTTAATACAAAGCTTGAGGTCAACTTACCTGATGAAATGGACAGGCCCTACATTATAACTGTACCAAAGACGGTCAAGGGGCATTGGCCAGTCAACGCCCGGCATGGAGAACCGAGTCCGGTAGTGATGGAGACCATTGGTCAGTTCTGCGTAGAACAAATGGAAACACATGCAAACTCAAGTGCAATATGTCAGTTTAGATAATATCTCTTGGCTTAAAGTCCGAAATCTTTATGTATCGGCCTATTAAATTCCACGTTCAATACACACAAGAACGTATGATTCAAAAATGACTGAAAGCAGAAGATCGTTTGAGCTCTCAAAATCACGATTCCATTTGTTCCACTTCTGGAGTATTTGGTGTCGCAATATAACGGTAATCCTGATTTAATGGCAGTAAAATTATTAAAACAGATCGCCGGCGATAAAACTTTGTTTAGAATGATTTTTGTGAAGTTTCCAAATCCTATACAAACATGCAGATCTGTCTTCTGATCATAAAAATTACTCCAATAGACTAATACTGGTTTGTTTGTGTTTTACGTCCTATTTACAGCTGTGGTCATTTAAGGACGTGCCAGGTTTTGTGGCGGAGGAAAGCCGGAGTACCCGGAGAAAAAACCACCGACCTACGGCCAGTACCTGGCGACTGCTTCATGTGGGTCTCGAACCCACGACCTAGTGGTGGATAGCTAGTGATAGCAGAATGTCAGACGCCTTAAGCAATTAATACATCAAAACAATGGATAATGTATACTTAGGGCTTCTTTTGGTATCAAACAAGCATTTTTAACAATCAGTATATATTATACGGTGTTTGCAGACAAGAATAAATCTATAATATTGATTGTCTTCAAATACGACCATATACAGCTGTACTTATATTGGTCATGGTAGTTTGGAAATTAGGGTCGAAGACAAATAGACTCGTGTTTGGTTTCCATTTTGGATTTCAAGCTTTAGAATACTGAAACCGGATGATCTTATCCAACATACTCGCGTTGTACCCATGGTGTGGCGTTGCCATGGAAACCATTACTATGTAATATATTGAATTCACATCCATGCATGAGTCATTCGATGCTATGGATCATTCATGAAAAACACTAATATCTGTATTCTATTGTTAGTATCTAAATGGCCAGTTACAGCCTGCCCAACTGGACCATGTTAACTTCGACAGACTTGTGTGGAATATTACTGATGTTAATGATATCTTACCCCTTGTTGGTCATTTCAATTCAGTATTTCAAAATATCAAGTTATCCGTGACTACCTGAGCGAAAAGGTTGACAGAGTCGAACTTGATATACTTATATGCACTTTTATGAAGTATCCCAGCTAGTTTCCTTAGGTCGCCAGGTACAGCCTTTGTTGGACCATTTGCAATGTTCTTAATACAGAGAGGAAAGTAAACCATAAAAAGCAAATAACGGGGTAGCTGGAATGAGGCCCTGACAGGGTTACTGTCAAACTTACCGTGATTTCCAGGTGACGTCATGTAGGGTATGTGGGCTGCTAATGGCTGAATAAGTTCCATAAAAGTGTCACCAACCTGAAAAAGAAGACATATTCACAGAACATAACGCTACTATTACCATGTTAAAGCAAACGTCCAGAAGAAAACAGTAAGCAACACTTTTAAGGAGTTTGGTTTGTGTTGGCCAAGAGACAGAGTCCTTACCCTTCCTCGTTTAGGTAAAAACTCAACACCAAGGCAAAAAGTGAGGTATAACTAAATAAGCTTTATAAAAGGAAAAATAGTGATTAGAAAGGAATGAAAATAAAAAGATCCCAAATCTTACATTGGGTGCAGTAAATTTATTTTTGCCGCTTCTGTGTCCCAATGTAGAGGGTAAAAAAGAAAATCCCCGATTATGAAGGAGTTACCATATTTGTCGGTCCTTGCGAAATATACAGCGTAAACAGGTAGGTGTATTCATCTTCTAAATCCTCTTCATCAGGTGTACATGGTGGGGGATATAAACTATTCACATACACTTTTCTTACGTTGATTTTCAGTCACTTGGGAGCAGCGCAAAGACCACTGGGAGATAGTGTTGTATGATGATAACATTTTCTAAACAAGTGTCCTAATAAGTAAGACAACTCTCAACAATGAGTGTTTTATAATGATAAATAAATACTTACGGCACCTCCGTCACTCTCCAGGTTGTAGGAAATATCCCCCACATGCCAAATAGCGTCATAGTGTTCTGACGTCACTTCCGTTTTCAGAACCTCAATGGTTTTCTGGCCATATTTGTATCCCATGTCTCCATAAACAATGAACTTCACAAGTCGGTCCTGTTGACAAAGAGGACAGTCACTCACATACATAAGACAGGTCTGAACAGTATTAAAGATACATTATCTCTGTTTGGCGCATCATTATATGATCTCATCTCTTCGGTCTTTAAGCTGCACCGGCACCATACGATTTCTATGCGTGGATATTGGATAAATCTACTTCATCCTACGTGAAATAGGTTTGCATGATGTATTAAACTGCCTAGACGCGGACAATTAGAGAAAACATTGTTTATAATAAGCTTGTCTGTTGTAATGGATTTTGTTAATATTTTGCTTACATGTGTCACTTAGGTGTTGTGTATAGAAACTTACGTGTTCACGGGGTTGTGTCGTAAAGATCAACTCATCGCTTGTCTCACTGGCACAAATGATCTTATATGTATGGTTCTGGCCTGGCAACAAACCCTAAAAATCATTAAAAAAAATGATTAAAAGCCTATTCTTCCGGATAATCGTAGTCCCAATTAACGACGTGGTATTGTGTTAAAGTAATAGGATTGTGTCGCCATTTCTCAGTAGAATTTCTTCAAATTTTGTAGTTATATTGCTTTGAAGTAAAGAAAATTTTCTGCGACAAAAAAAGATATGGGTTGTCAGAATTTTAAGGATTTTAAATGGAAATTTATGTAAAAAAGCGGGAATTTTGAAAAAAAATGAAACACAATTTTTTGTAAAATAGTGTCAATAAAAATGATACTGACATAGATTAGTATTGCATTAATGTATATCAATTTCATAAATGGTGAAATTGTGTTAAATTCATTATCTATAAAATGGGTTTTGGCGTAAATGACTTACCTCAAAAAATGGGCCGCCGAATTTATTAAATTATTTGTTTTGTTTTCTTATTTTGATTATTTTTTTAAATAATTTCTCTTTCCTAATTTTTTTTTCTTTTGACTGTTATATTCGAAATGAAATACTTTTTTGAAAGGTGCGGCCAATTAAAACCGCCTCCAAATAAAACTAAAACTGTCTATTTAAAGAAGCAGACTCCAAAATCACCAAAGATAGATCAGAATATGCTGGAGAGCAGGCTACCCAACCCTAACTTCCCTATATAGGAAGGGGGAGAAAGGTTTTCCTAGGCTCTGACCAGCTGGCAGTGTTGTCACAACTCTGACCGTGCCCCTAGTTACATATATTTATTGACAATATATATAAAAGCCAACGGCTTTCACCATACATAGGGAAATCTCCCTGATCACAATGCCTTAGAGCATAAACAAACTCTTGTTGTATGGCGTCTGATTCTCGATACATAATATTTTATCACAACTTGTTCAGTATATATTAATTAAACATGATGAAGTTGAAATTTGAACATTAATACTGACAATTAAAATTTGATAACATATAACTGGAAAGTATGTATGACATAGATAACATGAATACTGACTAGTACATGGGATAATATGAACCTTGACTTGTAAAACTTAGATAACATATAGATAATGACTAAACCATGGAAAATGTCAACAATCCTTGGCCCCTTTTAACTCAATGCTGTGAATAAAACTCTCTTCTTGAGCCAGTGGAAAAAAAACTTCTCTTAATTATAAAATTAATACACAATGCAATGTACAACCTACAGTATTAGTTAACATCCAAAGCATGCTCTCTGTGCTGAATAAGGGGAGGGGTGGGGTTTTATGAAGATTTTGAAGTCTTATCAAAAATAGCATTCCCCTTTCTTCGTTTTGTTGATTTTTCTGTGCTTTTTAAAAATGGCGGATCTTAAAGCCAATTTCTGGTCAACCAGTTCACTACTTCGTCACATCCATTTAATCCCATTTTTAACACTACGGATGTTGAAGGGCTACATTTTATACAATGAAATTGATTGGTTAAATAAATACATGAGTTGTTAGGGTACGAGTATAGTTCCTATTTGTTAAAATGTTCGCCCCAAGACTAGAAAGTGTTCTCATGTGAAGACAATATCAATATAGTTTAAGTGTAAGTTTAAGTTATTCGATAAAACTGTTATTGGCTGTGACAACATACCCATAATACAAAATTTTGATTCGTGATTAAAGCTACGTACCAGCATGTCTGCCATGTGTATAAACCTCATAGCATTCCGATTGTCCGCTAGCAGCTCCGATTGGCTGGCTCTTACATGAATGTGTTCTTTACCAGGTGCCCAGTATTCCACGTAACACATGACGTCATTTGGAGTTGACCACATGACTTTCATGACGTCAGACGTTGAGCCGAAGCTTAAATGTATCTGAGAAATTTTAGCTATGACGGGAATCACTGAAAAAATAAACCGTACAAAATTAATTCTTGCTTATTCCTCCTAGCTTTAAATTCCAGGGTTGAGAGCGTATATCACAGCTCACATGGCAGGAAGAAGGTCGTTTGTGATTTAAACAAAGGACCATGCGTTGAATAGAGCACTCCAACCTTAATACGGATTTGTTTGCATGGGGAGAGGAGGTTTCTCACAGAAGACATGTTCAAGGCACATTATCATGTTATTCACAAACATTAAGTATTTTACAGGCGTCTATATTTTATGGTGGTTTGTGTGTGTGTGTGTGTGTGTGTTTGGGGGGG